GCCCGTCACGTATTTATCCCCACTGATGAGGTCACCCCTCAGCCTCCTCTGCCCCAAGCGGAACAGACCCAGCTCCCTCAGCCTTTCATCCCGAGGGAGATGTTCCACCCCCTCCATCCCCTCTGGGGCTCTGCGCTGGACTCTTCCCAGCAGTTCCCCGTCCTTCTGGACCCGAGGGGCCCAGCCCTGGACACACTGTTCCCGATGGGGTCTCACCAGGGCAGAGCAGAGGGGGAGGAGAACCTCTTTCAACCTACTAACCACCCCCTTCTCATACCCCCCCAGGATGCCATTGGCCTTGGCCACAAGGGCCCGTTGCTGGCTCATGGTCATCCTGCTGCCCACCAGGACCCCCAGGTCCCTTTCCCCTACGCTGCTCTCCAACAGCTCAGTCCCCAACCTGTACTGGGAAATGGGGTTGGTCTTTCCCAGACTCAAGACTCTACACTCACCCTCGCTGTTGTTCATCCAATGTCTCCCCCCCAGCTCTCCAGCCTGCCCAGGTCTCGCTGGATGGCAGCACAGCCCCCTGGGGTGTCAGCCACTCCTCCCAGTTGTGTGTCAGCAGCAAACTTGCTGACAGAGCTGTACCTGGAGCATCGCGTTGGCCCGACATAAGTGACTGGAGACTTTGGGTCTTTGGTGTTGTCTCCAGGACCCCCCGTCTATCCAGTTTGTGTCCCTGTGTGGTTTTATCATTCCCCCCTTCACTTATTATCCCATATGCATTGGAAAGGTCCTTGACTGCTAACTTTAATGGAGCTGATGCTCCCACGTGTCTTTACACCTTTTTTTTTTCTAGACTGTCGTACAAACCTGATAAATGCCTTTGTCTCATTTCAGTTGGACACCACAGAGGTTTATTCAGCGCACAAAACCTTCCCGTGCTTTCAGCTTTCGTCCCACCAACGACACAAGACTCTTACCAACATAGGTATTGATCTGAGGTGCTTGTGACTGGGCTCTTGGACCCTTTCATAGCCTTTAGTGCCAGCTTTTCCTTGAAAGTCGGTGAAGATTTAGGCAACATGCTTAATGGATGTGGGGTCTGATTCCTCTCACCTCACAGCAGATGCTCCTCTTGGTCAGACGCTTGACTTTCCAGAGGACACAGGCAGCCAAGGTGCCTAGCTCAGCTGAGACAGCACGCCATCACACGGCAGGCCTGGCAGACGAGGCCGGCGTGTTAAGGAGAAGATGGGGACCGCCTCAAGAATCCAGGAGGAAGAACACCAGGAAGGAAAGGCCCAGAATCCTAAAGGAGAACACCAAACAGTCAGGAGATGGCAGCCCATCAGCGCGGAGGATTCATTCCAGGGAGCAGTGGAGGCCATCCCTTCCTCACCAGTGGTGACTGCCCAGGCAGCAAAGACTCATCAGGGTCGTTTTGGGGTGGAGACCAGACTTGGGTTTCACCGAGGACCTAACCCCACATACCCATGGTGTACGTTAGCCCAGCGACAGTTTGCAGAGGACGTCTCTACTGCTCTACAAGCCCCTTCTGCACACAGCAGAAGGTGCCCGGGAGGTGCCTCTGGACAGGACCGTAGTGCCTGTCACCGTAACAACATCACAGGGAGGAGAATCCAAGCCTGGCTCAATCTGACTGTCGTTTTAAAAGGATCCCCCAGCAGAGGGATCCTCCCCGGTACCCAACCACCTGCTGACCTCTCAGGTGCTGGTCCTCCTGCCACCACCGTGCAGCCACCAGCAGGTGCCTGCTCTCTCGAGGGGAGAAGACATGGACGAATGGAGAGCGGGCTGAAGGATGGAGAGTAGGCTGGTCTGTGAGAGCAAGGCCTGGAGACCTGCGGAAAAGTCCCAGCTCCAGATACACCCGCTGTCCAGTTCCCGTCTGTGCTCTCCGGGCAGGCTCACCCAGCCCCAAGACAAAGTCTGGAGGCGGCAGAGCCTGGAGGAACAGCGCTGATAACGTGGCAGCACGTGCCCCGTTCCACCACTGGCCAGATCACGCGTCTGCTGCTGTGGATGAAGCTCAAGCCCCCGAAGACAGGGAGAGAAACACCACGAGGGCTGGCCCCCACCACCAACTACGCACCCACCAGCAGCTCGTGCGCTCCCGCCAGCGGGACGGGGGAGAGAAGTAGAAAAAAAAAAAAGCAATAAAAGCTCCTGGGTCGAAATGAGGAGAGTTTCTCAAGCGGAGGCAAGCTGTACGGGCCCGCAAAATGAAGTTGGGCATTTATTCGCGGCTTCCCGGCGGCGGGCAGAGGTCCAGCTGCTCCCTGGGAGGCAGAGCCTCAGTGTGCCTGACGGCTGCTGGGGAAGGCAAACGCCGCAGCCGCTAACACCTCCCCTTCCTCCTCCTTCCCCCCAGCCCTGAGTGCTGAGCACAACGCCGTGCAGCACAGTCTGCTCGGGCCACCAGTCCCGGCTCTGTCGCCTCCCGACTTCTCGCCCGCTGGCCCGTTAGCAAAGCTGTTCTGGTCTCAGATGCCCGAAACGGCACCACACGGCTGCGATGAAGAATCACAGAATCACACACAGAATCACAGACTGGTCGGGGTGGGAAAGGACCTCTGGAGATCATCTGGTCCAACCCCCTGCCAGCGCAGGTTCACCCAGAGCAGGTCACACAGGACTGCACCCAGGCAGGGTTTGAATGTCTCC